AATAAATTTACACACGTTGAGTGGACAACCTTTCTCGTAAATACTCCAGTTCCAAAATTTTAGGCTTTTAGGTTTTTCACAGGTGAATTTATAAGTCGGAGTAAATCAATCTATTCAAAGGTCATCATGCCAGGGTGATCAAGTACTCTGTAGGTCATACACCTGAGTGGTGGTCTTCGGCCCAAATATTTACGTCACATTTTAGTCTGTCATCTGTACCCTTCAATAAACTTATCTACTCCGAGTTAGAAGTACTTTCTGAATAAATAGAAACGCTTAAATAAAAAAGGATGCTTTATGTTTGACATCGAGCAGACGGCGAAAATAAGGATAAACTGATAGATGCATATTTTTGCTGACAGAACGCCAGACTTTCACAAGATCTCAAAAACCGTCTTCCCTTGTAAATAGGATCGACGTTTAAAACCCAGAGTCATCCCGCCACAGCTTTTCTCCTGAATTAATCACAGTCCTTTATCCAAAGGATCCCGGGTACCAGAGAACATGTTAGTGCTCACCTCAACGAGTTTTCTTTTATTCGCTGACGTTTCAGGGACGGAATTTTCCAAAAGTCTGACGTTGAAGGCATGGCATGCAGAAGCCGACTCCGTCAGCAGGCATCTGAGCCTTTCCGCGCCCTACAAATCCTACACTATTACGTGAGTAAAGTATAGGAAAATGTCCAACCGCAATTACGAATTACAAGTCAAGACGGCACCGCGATGAACCCACCAGAAGAAGAGGCAGGATTAGCAGCATCCTCTACCCTGGAGACGAAGCGGAATACCAACTGCCGTCAAGGTTAACGTTAGGTGCAGATCAAGCTCTGGGTTAGGGTTAGTTTAAGAGTGCAGTTTACTGCATGGAAGATTTGCCTGTCGTGGATCATTTTTCAGGGCTATATACACCAACGAAAGACAGGACTATCCGTTAATGTGGGTAGTTATGTATAGGAAACTACAGAATCACAGTAAGCCTTTTGTCGTTGTCCAAAAAAACGACTACTTTTATAGTAGTGTCATAGATTAGAAGCTATGGCGAGTTACATAAATGGGAAAAATCTTACATTTTGTGCTTTTACTTCAATCTCTATTATTCGACAGCGAATCGGCATAGATTAGACGTAGGATTATATCCGCTTTGTGGGTCCTCTTTAATGTAGAGTCGATATACGAATGCATCTTATTGGACAGTTCTTGTCTCCTGTTTGTTGTGTTTCCCAATTAAAGAACTGCCCGCAAATACTTGATTATTTAAATAATTTTTCCTATTGTTTCCAACTTTTATGCACTATATTTATTTAATTATTTGCCTCCGACAACAATTTTACTTATTGATGTTCAATAAGATTAGTCATTAAGTACGTTTTCAGATCGGTGACTTTGGACTTTGTCGAAGGGAAGGTTCTCCCTATCCTTGTGGAGCGTTGCCCGTAAAATGGTCTGCCCCAGAGGTTTTAGAGAACAGATACAACTACAGCACAAAATCCGACATTTGGTCCTATGGTATCGTCCTCTGGGAGGTATACACTCTCGGGCAAACACCCTTTGATGATATACCCAATGCCAAGCTGAAGGAAGCCCTGAAGAACATGTTCCGTGAGGGCAGGTGTCCACTTCAATTTCCTGATTATACTCCCGAAGCCGTCCAGTGGGTAGGTCGTTTGTGTCTGCAACAACACCCAGCCTGCCGTCCTTATTGCAATGATATTATTAACTATTTGGACTGAATTCTTCCTTATTTGCCTCCGGGTTGGTCCGGGATTGTCTTAACGACTGAATTTCACATGTTCTTACCGCAGCGCAAACGTCCTTTCATTGCTGGGCCGGCTATTCCTAAACACTGAATTCTTACAACTTTTTCTCCTTGCATTTTGTCTACGTAGACTTCAAAAATACCACCTACTATAAATATACCTTATTTTGCATGTTTGTTTGAATTTTGTACATGCATGATAAAAATGGATACCACCGTTTCCTTCAAGTATAAATTTAGGATGGAGCCCAATGGGGAAAAAAGAATCTCCCCTTATACCATACTTCAAAGTAAAGTGCGATTTTCAGGTGGCAAGTCAGAAGCAGCAGGAGCGTTAACCGGGAGGGATTTATTTGATGTCAGTTAGTTCGGGTGGTTTTGCGGAACGCCAATTTCAGAAACCCAAGCTTAGATGTATATGCACGCTAAAAGGCCATAATAAAACCAACTCCAGTACACCAGCCGCCAATTAGGACGCGCTGAATCACCTGCGAGAATATTTCAGAGCTACCAGCTCCCATTAGTGTTCATTGAAAAGAGTCAAATGTCATCAAAAACGCGGATCGAGGAGCGTTGCCCGCCAAATTCGTGGCGGAGTATTGCGCATATTAAGGAAGTCTCTGAAATCATGAGTAGCTCCCTCGTGTTCCTCGGAATAGGAGCTGCTAACAGGCCCTCCGTCACAACTTGCCAGTAGGTGACGAGGCCGAAAGACCCTGTATCAAGGAAGAGCAGTCAGTTGTGATCTACCGACCTCAGTGCAATTTGTGGAGGTGCAACTATTTTGGAGAAACTAGCTGATAGCTACAGATGAGAATGTATGAGTACCCGCTAACTATTGAACCCTGCGTCGGAGGTAGCAACCAATGCTGCAGAAATGGGGCACCTCCTCAACATTGGCGCCGTCGAAGTTATGTGCCGATAAAACTTCAACGCAGATTAAGAAGCCTGGATGTCAACCGAATGTTCCTTAAACAACATAACAACTTACCTACCCCGCATCTGGTTTTACAAACATTCTTATCACGGAGACAATAATAGCGGAGAACAATCGGGGCAGTCAGCTACCTCCACAGCAAGCATGCACGGCAGTGAACTAAGCCAGGGTGAGGCGCTGGCCAACGCGATACAACAGGCTATCAAAATGTGCCAACTCTGTCAACAAGAATGTGGACCTGCCCGCGGCTTACAACGTCTTGCTCCGTTATGTGGGCGAATCAGAGAACAAAGCCAAACTGAAGGCAAGAATGGCAAGCGAAGAGGATTCCACGACAGGCAGGGTTTCCACGACCCTCTACCATGCGGCCAAGTAGCGACACTAATTGCTGTTCATGATGCCCGACTCCACCGACAGCTAATTAGCGTACACGACTATCATTGCCCTCCCGCCCTCCGACACCACTGACAGCTAATTAGCGAAACCACTCACCTGTTCCAAATAATATAATAACGTAACATGATGTCAGTTAACACGAGCAGCAGGTCTACTGAGCAAAAAGAGCAGACAGTCAAAGGCATACCTCAGAATTCAAAAACGGAATGTCATTTGTGGTTTTTAGGGAAAAAACTGTCGCTCGTGAGTGAAACGTATGTGAAAAGTAGGACCGGCATGTTGCTACGAATGTTTGTGGTAAGCCAGGGCACCCATCGCGATTAGTATCTGTATCCGAAGGGCCACACGAGGAGGAGACCGCAGGGTCACAAGAACATCCCGAAGAATCGCAGCTGCGACCGTGATACGCCCTTGCCAATTTCTGTGGCCGTCATCAGCGCGACGAAAAAAGGAGAAGGCGCCACGATCGCAGCTGTCTGTTGTTGGTGGACATAAGTGAGCTGCGTGCATATGGAATAAATTTGATGCAGATAATAGTTTAATAAATAACAATTACTCTAACAAAGCAGGCAATACAATAAGAATTCATTAATTATTTTGCCTGCAGTAAGACTACGGCGGTCAGCAGGTGTTAGAGTGAGCAGTACTATAACAATCTAGCTTCTGTTTATATATTTCAACGGAAGAGGACATAACAACATCCAAGGGCAGAGCATTCCTAGCTTCAACCATTCTAATACAAAGGAATAACTTTCGTGTGTCTAGTCTGGCCCCTGTTACACGTCATTTGAATGGATGACCTCTTAAGTTAATAGTTTTTGCTAATTCAAAGAAGACGCCAGGTAGAAGACAGCAGTCCCGACCGCAATTGACACGAAATTTCTGTATCAGATCACCGCGTACCTGCCTGTAACTTGGAGGAAACCGGTTGACATTCATAGGGTAATGAGCCCTGTCCGGTCACAAGTTTTTTTGCACGCCCTCGACCCTTCTCGAAGGAATTTAGATCTTTCTCGGTCTAGAGTACCCATGCTGCGATATTTCCATCTAATTACGCCTTTTGTGAATTCCCAAAGAAGAACACAATAAGCAGAGCGCAAAATTAGAAGTCTTAGAGCAAGCTTAGTACAGCATACGTGAGACAAGCGAACACGTATACAAGCCATGTCCAATCGGACAAATCAGCTTGTGGGCTCAAGTAAGGGCTGAGTTCATTGGCTTTGTGACTCATGCAGCTGGCGCGTTAGAGTCCGGCGCCCGGCTGCAGCTGCG